TACTGTATAGTCAAAATCCAAGATGGAAGACGTCTTGGATTTTGACTTGGCATGAACATTCTTTAAGCCACACACCAAAATGAAAGTCGGTACCTTCACTGCCCAGATGAACAGAGAGAGAGTTTTTTTCCAATAACCCCCTTTGCTCTGTGACGGGGAACAAAAACAACACCTGTCTGGTCACAGCTGGAAGGCCGGATCACTTAAAGGGCAGCATGATCTAACATTGAACCGTGAACAGGTATGCACTATACAGGAAAATTTTGTCACTAATGATGACATCTTAACGAGCTTATCAGTGAATCTTTTTAATTACATGTGTACATAACCTACTTGTATACACAAGAGCTTTTTTGAATGCAAAATATATCAATCTTTAACACTGCTCCACCAAATCACAGATCATCCTCTATCTTAATCTCCTCACTGGTACAACACACTGGTACTGAACCAGTATTCCTCCTTTATAAACTTGTAAATCTAGGAGCAACCTTTGCTAACACACATGGTAATTAGTTCTTGCTACTATTGTTTGACGTGAGGGTTGTTGGAAAAAGAACATGTACAAAGACACATAAAGTGACAGAATAATGTAGCACCAAAATAGCTAATTCTCTTTTGGAAAACCAAATCAGTCCTTTATTAGTTTTTTAAATTAATTTAAATAATTAAAGAACAGCTTTAGCACCAGTCCTTGTTTAGCACTGAAACTAAATTAGTTCCAGGTGTGTTTATACCAGACTATAACACTGAACCTCTTCTGTCCTAACTGCTGATTGGTGTGTATGAATGACTTACAGTGTTATCATTCTTCGTTAAATAAATTAGGTAAGTGTTATAAAATACAGTATTTTATTAATGACTTCTTTCATTAAGCCATTACTCTCACTCAGCATTCATAAAAGGGTTGTTCAATGTCACAGTTGTAATATACTGTTGTTTCCATTCACTCATTCTGAACACAAACAACTCACCATGTCGACCTCCGATATACTGTCCAAGCTTTCCACCTGAACATCTACTCCTACAGGAACTGCAGGACCTGCAGAGAAACATAACATTAACAGTTCAATGGTTGGTGTTATTCAACATAAACCCCATGGCCTTTGGGCCAGTCTGCGCATCAGTCCCTGGTAAAGTCTCCCATCTCAAACATGTTGGACAGGGGATCGAGGAAGATTTATTTGAAGATCTCAGTGAAGCTTAATAACAAGCACGTTACCTCGACCAAGCCAACCCCCTTTAGTAATGTCTGCTACCATGAGGGCACTCCACTCAATGTTTACAGGTTGAAGAGAACTACTCATTTTATTTACATAAACAGTAAGTAATGATTTTTATTCCTCATTCAAAGAAGAAATCAGGTTAATATGCATTTCTTGATTTTTCTGTCTTCAATGAGCAAATTTGTAAGTATGTTAAAGTTCAGGCTTCGGTCAACTAAAATGTTTACTGAGAAGAAATGTCATGTTTAATCTTTACAGCAGATAATCAGAGTAGAGGCTCCACGAAGTCTGGTTTTCTCCAATAATCTTTCTGTCTGTTTTAAACAATCTCATTCTCTGCCCTTGACTTTGATAACACCTTACATCACAAACCACACCTCTGATCTGGTCCATCCACCAATCAGAAAGCTCTAAAATGACCCGGAAGTCAACTCATTTAAATGTGGCAACTTCCCGGTTCTCGCTAGAGTTAAAGAAAAAAAGAGTTACAAAGAGTGACAGTTCTCCTGGAGAAGTGAGATGAAAAACTCTCTGATGCAGCTCATGGAGAAGAGTTCCAGAGTTTAACTCTCTGAAGAGAGTTCTGAAGGAGTTCAGAATTCTGACGATCCAGGATGCAGAGAGGATTTTGGGGAATTATAACTTCTGTTTGGATAACCTCGCACGACTCTCTAAGGGTTTGGCTGTCCTCATGGAGACGCTGAAAGAGTCAGAAAGGAACCCTACGCCGACGCTGATTTTATCATCAACCAGGTAGAAGGTTCTATTTCGACCAAGTGTACCGTGGCCAAGCTGATTCCCCAAAGAGCGTGTTGTTCTGGTCCCACAGATAAACTCCCTCACACATCTCTCTGTAAAATGAATCTCCATTTTCCATCTTAAACTCTCCTTTCTCCTAAAATCATTACAGATATTTTAGAAATGTCTGAAGTAAAGTTCTCAATCACCGCCGTGTGATTGATGTCTGTTGTTCTGCTGAGAAGTGAGGACAATCGCCGTATTGTCCACTTTCTGTGAACTTGCCATTGTTATTGTTTTCATATTTTGCCAAATTAATGTAAATGTTTGATGTTAAACTTTGATTCTGCAAATAAATGACCGCATTCATTTGATGGGTCAAAGATAAATAACGTCTCTCGTTCGCATTTCTGTTAAACTCAACGCACGACATTTACACAGTCAGAAAGATGAAGAACTCGTGAAAAATGTATGAATATATCCAGCATATGTCATACTACATTTGGTGGCCCGTTACGTGCTCATAAATGACTGTGTATTCGTGTAAAGATTGTTTTTACATGTTGGCATGAAGAAAAGTAACAGTTTATCAGCTGTGCTGAAACGCAGCTCAAGCTGCGCCGCTTTGAAGTCAAAACGCTGCATGTTTTAAGCGTGTTGGGCTGTGATGCTTGGGAGCTCACAGAAAGCTGAAATAGTGTCATTGAGTCTTTATGAAAGCTGAAATTGTACGCCTGTTATGGTAACTAAAAGCTGGGTTTTGGGTAAAAACGCTTCATTCTGTTTAAAGACGGTCCAGACGCGGTTCTGGACCGGCTCGGTTCTGAAAAAGGTTCGGACGAGTTGTTTAAATAGCTAGAAAGACGTTTTTGAGACCGGAGTTGCAGACTCCGTGCAGCTCAGTGTTGATTCGTTACAGTTTTTAACAGAAAAAGTGCATTTTGACAGTTTAAAAGACGAAAAGTTGACGAACTTATTTCATGCTAATCTATCATGCTAGTTGCTGAAACGTTTTGTGATTGGTGGAATTTTGCTGCTGTGGAGCGCTCTGATACGCTGAGAAGTTGAATGACGTGTTTACGTCATTTCCTCTCACCCCCGTGTTGCTCTGTAATTGGTGATTTCAGTCACGTGACCCGGAAATGGAAACTCATTTTCATAGGGAATAAAATCTGCTTTTTAAAGCTGAAAAGCGCTTTAAAGCTGTGTTCTGAAACGCTGTTTAGGTTCTTCGAAGTCTAATTGCTAAAATTTTGCCACGCTTGTGTAAAAAATCCGTTCAGAAATGTTGGTTTTATCCGAGTCTAGCCGATGCTAATTTTTAGCTAACAGCTAACGACCGGACGCCACAGGAAGTTATAGCTCCCCTACTGGACAACACTAACAGTGTCTGAGTTAAAATTAATAAGGTTGTACTAACACCTTCTGGATAAACGTGAGATCACAGGTTTTCACTTCGCTTTTTAGGTTATTTTAGTGAAATTAAACGTATTTTCTTTTAAAAGGCATTTTTGAGTTAATAAACATTCCTCAAAGCTGAATAATCACTGTTATCTTGCATTTTAAAAGTTATAAAGGTATTTATGCAAAGAGCATTTACCGAACACATTTTTATTCACTGATAATTCCTTAAGAAAAAGGTACAAAATAAAAATTAAAGCAAACTTTTTAAAAATAGAAACAGTTACAGATATTCACAAAGTTGGAAAAAGTTTACTCACTTGCTAAAAAGATAACGCACGTTTAATTGATAAATCACTAAATAAGAGTAAATACATCAGTAGAGAGAAACTCTTCTGATTTTATTTTACCACCTAAACATTTACATCTCCTATTTAATTTCTAAATAGCAGATAATGGCGGACGAAGAAGGAAACCCTGACCCCTTGCATTCCAGAGATGCCGTCCAAGCGGCTTTACATATTTTAACAAATTCAATTATTGGTAAACAATTAGAGCAATTACAAGACCTTGATGACAATCAAAGAGATGAGGAACTGCAGAGGTTGGCAAAAGCAGCTAAAGTGTCAGAGGACACAAAATCGAGCCGTGAACGGTTAGCAAAAATTTCTCTGCTTCTGAAAGCGGAATTGGACCATCTGGTTGAACAAAATGACATGCTGTTCAGCGGATATCAATCTGAAAAGGACAGGTGTGACGTATTGATGAATCAATCTGAATCGCAGAAACAACAAATTCAGACTGATAGGGACCTCTTAAAGACTGAGCTGTCAGAACAGGCTCAATCATATGAGGAGAGGATTAGGGATAAAGAACAAGCGTACCGAGCCGCGTGTGCAGATAACGATGTGGTACAAGCACAGTTGTAGGTCGCATTAAAGGAGCTGTACGCTTGCAAGGCAGAAAAGGCGAAAATACTCCGACAATGGCTGAATTTAAAAAGTGAATGTCAGACAACACAGGAGCGCCTGACAGCTTGTGAGGAGAAACTAGCTACAGCTACAAACCAGATTTCTGAAATGGGGCGAGCTGGTCTGAGACTCAGAGACGAACAGTATCAGGGCCCGGGTCAGCCACAACCACCCCAGATAGACCTGCACCGATATGTACCTCTTCCTCCTGACACTATGCCGCCACCCCCACCCCCATTATGGGCGGTAGGGACAGACCTGCACCAATATGCACCTCTTCCTCCTGACACCATGCAGCCACCTCCACCCCCATCACGGGTTGTAGGGACAGACCTGCACCGATATGCACCTCTTCCTCCCAACCCTTATCAGCCACCCCCACCCCCATCTTGGGCGGTAGGGGCAGTCCTTGACCAATCTGCACCATCACACACACAAGAGAGACCGTTGATACTGTCTCCTTCAATGGATGATTTGCAGAAAATCTCAAAATATGTACAACGCTTTGTGCCTGGACCGATGGGATCATCTGGAACAAAAGCGTACCTCAAAGATCTGGAGTTCAGATTGAGATCTTATCCTAATGCTACGGTAGAGGATAAGATCAGTCTGATACGGCTCACTTCGGACAGAGAGGTGTTCACCTTCATCGAGCGTCTACCAGATGCAACGAGAAGGAATTACAACCTTCTGTGTGAAGCTTTGATCAGAGAATACGACTCCTGCACGGGACCTGCTGGTTTCCCAGCTGCAGACAAGGTCACGCAGGGTAAAACTGAACATCCAAAAGTTTATTACAAAAGAATCTTCCAAGCTTATTTTGGTAACAGAAATGAAACCGGAATGGAAGAAGATGAAAATTTTAAATTTGTTTTCAGCAAAAATCTCCACACTGATTTTAAACAATCAATACAAATGATGGCAAATTTCAGAGAAAAATCCATCAGTGAGATTAAGCAGTGTGCTGTGAATGTGTTTGAAGCGAGTTCTCATGCTAAGACGCCCATAGAAGTGTTTCCTAGTGTAAAGGTTAAACCCCTCCCTCTTGAACTGGAAGGACGACGTGCTTCGCCGCCTCCTCCTAAGAAGGAGAGAAAACAGTCTGTTCAAAATAACAAACCACGTAATGAAGGTGCACGCTGGGACAAAAATGCTCCTCTTTCAGAGGATGAACGTGATTATCGTATATGGGGCATGCGTAGGACGCAACGATATGGGAAACCATATCATCAGGGGCAGTACGTAAAGGAACCCCCGAAAGACGTACCTGACCGTCCCCCACCTCGGACGAAACGAACCGAGGCGAAAAAATCACAAAAGTTCCAGAAACAAGGCCCTACACCTCTGAACTCGGAAGAGACAGAGAAAATACGCAGGTTGTTAGAAACTTTGAAACACACTGACACGGGAACCCATCCAGGAGCACTATGCAGTAATGTAATTCCTATTACATCTGAGGGCGCGAATGACAACATAACAGATGTCGGTGGAACACACCAAGACACAACTGTTGTTGCCTCAAACAACCCCTCATCAGAAGAAGGGGGGGTAAACACACACACAAACGATGACAAGTCATCGCAGGCTGAACACTCAGAAACAGCTTCTGCTGTGCTGACGGTTCAGACAAACCAAGATTACACAGATAAGGCTGAACGCGTGAAGAAGCGTCAGAAAAAACCCAAAAGGTTTCTGTGTAACTTTAT